CACGAGTGCCCTTTGGTCACAGGACAGATGTGAATCTCAAGGAAGTTCAGGCATTTTCCCATATCACACTCTGTGGTGGGTGAATCGATGAAGCAAATTTATATTTGCTATAGCAATCGACGACATTATTTTTTTCCTTTTTTAGTAGGTTTTCGAGACTACCGGTAAATCAGATATATGAAGTACTGGTAGTTAAATTTATACATAATATTATGGGAAATTCAACTTCAGTTTTTAGTTAACTTAAGCGAAATAGGGTGAACACAACTCACATGTCTGGTTTACTGGTAGTCTCGAACACCTACTCAAAAATAAAACGTACTAAGCTTGCGTTTGTAGTATGACGGACATCATCAAAACAGGGTATCATCCTTACAGCCATTTTCAAGCTATGAAGAAAATGCGAGTTTCTAAAACTCTTCCAAGATAAGATTGTTGTTTCCTATAAAGAGATTCATAGTGTCATTTTCACCAGAAGACGCCAGTTGGTTCGTGTTGTACTGCAACCATTTGGTATTAATACAACGTTCGGATTGATGCAGTCCACCATACATCCTCCAACGTTTCGAGCGAAAACTGGATGAGATTTCGTTAAACGTTTGTCAAACATCATCAGAACTGGAACTCATTCTTGCAGAAGCCTCAAGTTAACACTAAGTCAAGAAGATTCTGACGATGCTCGTCAAATGACGAACGAAATGTCAGTTTGCCTTCACTCGAAATTTTGGAGGATGTCTCGTGGATTGCATCAACCTGAACGTGTCATATTCAAGTAAAGCGGCTGCAGTACAGCGCGAATCAGCTTGCTAATCTCTTCTACATACACTTTTATACGAAATGAAAGTGTTCACAACAATCCGTAATTTGTCCCCTTATTCTCTCAAAGCTTTACAGAAGACCATTTTGCCAATCTACTAATAGTTTAAGTAACCATTGGCTCTTTCAGATTCCGGCCGCAACCATTCGCCTGCTTCAGGCAAATATCTGGCATCACCTCGAGGTGTCCTGGCAACCCATCCAAAATGAAGGTCTCAAAGTCTGGCTAGATGGACAGGTTTTAGTGCACCAGGTTGCCCAGACGATGGAGAAGACCACTGCCATCCCTGAAACTTACGCCTATCTTCCAAACGCTGCGTCTGCCAGTGGCACTGCGGCAGTCGAGATTGCCGACTGGAAGGTGGAACCAATGGCCGAGGGTGAAGTGCATGAAATTGAATCTCTCGCCGACACAAGTCAGTTCCATCTAAAGCTGGTGGAGATATTTCCCGCAAGCAGATGGAATCTTATCAAGATTGGCCAGTGGCCTGAAGGTAAGTTGCTGAATTCCTCAAACCAATTCTATAGCTTCGGTTGACAGTACAAACTCCGTGTAGTATTTCTTGCAAACCGCCTTTTATCATATGCCTAAAGGGCTATTCGATTTTGACAAATTAAAATTTTTTTCTCTAATTCCCGCCTTAGCTTTCCAGGTCCGGTTGATTCTCTCAAGCATACGATTTTGCAAAGACAGAAAGAATGCTTAAGTAATGCACATTGTTAATTGGCACAAGAAAA